ACAACAGACATGCCGAGGTTCAAAGATGAGAGGACTTGGAATTTGGAAGTGATACTTTAGAATAGCGCAAAATTGGTGAAGAAAAGCGAAAATCGGCAAGTCAGCGAAATAAAAGCCTTCAAAAAAAGTAAAATTAGGAGTTGGATTTAGCGCCTATCATTGGGGCCCAAATTTAAAGTAGAGTAGATTGGAAGGATAATCTGACCCTGCTAAACTGGTCTACTTCGAGTTTGGGCTCCGAACATTGGCGTCAGAGACGTTCAAAACGTCACGAACTTCGCCGCGCACTTTGATGCGCGCGTCCTCGGGCGCACGACTTGACCGTCCCCCTGCTCTGTAAGTTTTTCGTTTCGAGATGCTGAAGCGATGTTCATCACAGAGGATGCACTCCATCCAAGCCATGTTTACTTGAGCTTCGGGCCTGGTCTACGATGCCCTCAGAGGCTATGTCAATTCCCAAGCATCGACAGCCTAGTATTCTTCCCACGGCTTCTCCGTGGCAGTCAGCATTGGCTCCCCTCTGAACGGAGGAACTTTGTTTGATTACGTTTTGCCGGAGTCCATTCTCTGCCAGTACGCCCTACCATCCCTGCAGCTTGTACTGAAAATTGTGAACGCTTTTCGCTATCGAAGCGGTGTCATCAAAATAGAAGATAAGCTTCAATGGCCTCTCCATGGGTTTTCCCCTGATGATATTCGATGCACGAACTCAAAGGTGATGTTTGATGAACTCCAAAAGGGACGTCGTTGCGCGCATCTATGTGCATTAGACCCATCGTGCATGACCACGGCAAAGGAGAACTGGTCTTCCGGAACGTATCGTTCTTGGAGCAGCGCCAGGCAACTGGCCACAGAAGATGGTCGAACGCTTTCATCTGATCTAGAAAGGCTCGAAAACATTTGATGCTTCTATCAACACATCTCTATAACCTGACTAGCTATAAAGATGGCATTCTAATTGTTCTGAAGTAATAGGAATGAGTTCTTTCTATTTTTAATCTCTAGCCGCTGATACAACTTCATGGGCAGTCAACCAGATCCCACGAGTATCAAAAGACTACATCACCCAACATCTGTTGGAAGATGATAACGATAGTGCTGCTTTTCCACGCATACGAGATCCCTCCTCAAGCAGTTACAGTGCTCAGGAACAGTGAGTAAGCCATTCAATCAGGTGTCGATCAATCAATCAGCCCTCTCAATCCTAGCGCTTTCCGAACCTCGATTGGTATCCCTCTTTCTAAACCTTCTTCTACCCTGTTGATTGAAACATCTCGTAGTAAGTTCTCTTTGCGGGCAAATTCTTCTTCGAATTACACTGTCCACCCGCGCTTGGTCTCAGCCGTCTTCCTCAGGATGGCAACGCCGCTACCCCTCATAGCCTTCTTTACCCTGATGTCTTTAGTAAGCCGACGCCGAGTTTTTCAGCAGGGGACGAATCCTGCTCTTTCTGGACTGCCGAGCAGGGCGTCCGTATTGCCACCTTCTATTCGACAGTTTTCGCGAGACTCTTGCAACTTTTGTAGAATTTTGTTATCCTATTTTCTTTATTGGCCCTCGTTGTCGTATCCTTTTTAAGAACCATAGCAAAAAAGATCTCACTGAAAAAGTTTTATGGCTTTCCCTTTCTTTTTCTTGAGTGCGGGCAATTCGATAACAATTCTACATTTTTGCAAAAGCCACTCATTTGGCTTGATATACCCCAGGTCTTCCCCCTAAAGGGCATTTGCACCAATTTCGCTCGAAAGTAGAGGGCATGAAATGGTAGAGCAACAAAGCTCGGCTTCTGAATGCGAGGCAGTTGGCTACTTCCGCTAACAGGGTTGACCGGAAGCTGCCCTTGTTCACATTCTGCTAAGCCAATGAAATGAACAATGAACTCTGCCCTTAGAACAACCTTTTTGCTGTGAAAATATAACGACAAGCACGCTGACAATTTGGATGTTTCCAAACAAGATTAAATCGCTCAAAGCACTCAGTTACATGTACCCAAAATCAAATATGTTAGGACGCAGGCCATTTTCGTGCGGTAGGAAAAATACTGAGATTCTCTTGTGATTCTTCAATAATGTCAAATAGATAAACTCAAAATATGCGCAGCATCAATGATATTTTACAACATCGCCGATGTCTACACATGCCCAAGACACTGCTATGAGCCCCATTTTTAGTCTCCGGACTGAAGTGTCAATAGCCACATTCTCGAAAACATTTTCACTTTGTTTGGCATTATTTGATATCTCCAACCTCTTTCAATCCTTCGATCGCATCACAACATCGCACTTACCCAATGTTTTCGATGAATTTCCATCTACACAACGTTATCACCTCATAAACTTTATAGGACGGAAGTGTCTAGTGGCAAGTGGCGCACTATCACACAGGAATAGTCACGGGTTCGAACCCCAGACAATATCCGCCAAGGGCAACCAAGCACTCCATCCTTCCAGAGTGAGCTGATTGGTGTCAGACTCGTCTGGAAGGATAAAACACCTGACCATATGCCACATACGCATTCAAAACATCCCTACAATACTGCAAGGCGTTTCCCTCAGACGGAATTGAATAACGTCCCAAGACTTTATACTTTATCTTTTTCTATACTATTTATGGGGAGGCGGAACTCAATACCCATCTCAAAAGTTTTGAGAAAATTTTAGAGCATCATAACAAGATAACTGTATTGCACTTCATCTTTGGAAGTGAGTTATGATCATTTGAATCATGTCCGACCGACACGCCTACGGGAGCCTTCCGCTTCACCATTACGAAACTGATCACTTCGACACTCAGGCGTGGAAGTAGGTATGGTGACTGAATGGCAGCAGTGACCTTGTGTTGTCACCTACCATAAATGGCACGATCGCTTCCTTTCAGAAGAGATTTGCTTTGACGAGGTTTGTCTAAGCGAACGTCCACTGTCCTCAAATACCGACACTGTTCTGGCCTCCCGTCAGAGCGATCCTCCTAAAAGTCACAGGATATGGAATAGACGGTGCCTACTGTCTATTCCAACATTCATGACTTTCGACGCAAAAGTCGCCTTTAAAGCAGACTCTTTACAATTGTGGCCCATTTTTTGGCTGCCCAGCAGCTTGAGTGCGAGTCAGTGTGCGCCATAGGCTCCTCGACTGTAAGCAAACGACGACATCAACCGACTCAATTATTGCTCAGAATAAAAAATGGGTACCATATGAAAATCCACAAAGGAAATCTCAATGGCTACCAGTGGACGTAAGGCGACAGCTCGCTACAAAGCGAGGAGACATGCCAAGAAGGACATGAGCTCATTCTTCCTCTGCTCAACCGGGTGTTTTACTACGAGGTTCTACCAGAGTGTACTGCAGTAAAGGCAGGAGTATTCTGTTACCGGCTGACTGAAATGGTGCTCCGAGCTCAGATTTGTCACCAGTTACAAGGAAATTTTCGATTGTGATGAGTAATGCTCGACGACCCCGGGCGAGAATGTCGATGGATGAGCTGGAAAAACCTGACATTACCTGACTACCCCACCCCCCACATATTCATCTGACCTCATCCCATATGACTGCCATACTTTCAGGAGCCCACATACCTGCTTTACAGGAAAAAAATTCACTAACTGTCGAGAGGTCAAGTGGGTGGTAGATGAATGAGTTGCGTCATGCCTCTCTTCAAACTGAAGGAATGGCGTCAATGCCCTGTTCGGTTGATGGAGAGACATTGTGGCTAAGAAGGGCCACTATCCTGATCACTGATCTAGGTTTACTGCTGTAGTTATTTTGTGTTGAAAAAAGCGGCTTAAATTTCTCAAAACTTTTGAGACACCCTAATAATTACAGGAGGAATTAAATACGAGGGTTTTCCATTCACTCCCAGTCATATTCACTTCTGAGGAAGTACTTTCAATACTCGTGTCGTGAATGTGAGTGTTCCGTCTTCCGCATTTAGCGTTGAACTTGGCTCCGAACAAAAGTGAACGTCATAGTCATTATTCATTCATCTTTTTTTCGAGAATGTGTTCAATATTTCAAACTTGGCCACAGCAGTACAAGGAAATGAAAATATAAAAAAGAAACTTTACGATTCGTCCTGAACATGTATAAGTGAACTCTGACGTCTCCCTGGATACGTGAGCGAGGTCTATTTTGGAGAAGGAGACGGGTGAGAAAGAGAAAGCAGAAGTGCAATTCACCCAATCGGATAGTTTGTCAAAACCTTACAGCACAGGCTCTGCCAAAAAATCTAATGTTAATAGACTGGATTGAATTTTGGTTAATTCATGACACCTGTTTTTGCCACTGTGACCTGTCCATCTGGAAAACTTGTGTTCACCCATGCATATAATTCGGAAAAGGAACGGAGCTCCTTTTCTCGCTCCAGCTGCTAAGCAGCAGGGAGCAAACTTGACAAACCTCTTGCGACGACGAGAAAAAGTCCGAAAAGCTCAACAGGAGGCAGGGTGCGGTTGTCTTTCAAATCAACCAATTCGATGTGTATCTTCAGCGAATCTACTGGTCCTGCAACAGGAGTAATGAGTACATATCAACAATTTGTAGTTGCTTGCTTACCTTGTTTGGTCGTTGTGATAACGATCTGGGTTGGTTCAATTTCAACGCTCTTGATCCTGTCCACATTTGCCTCTGCTGAAGAAGTGGCATAGGCTGAGCGACGGATTCTGCTCGCATATTTGTGAGCAGTGCTTATAGAGTTGTCGGAGCTCCGGCTACTTGAATTTCTCGTACCTGAGAGAGGAGTGTCGGCGCCGAGCTCTTCCGAAGCTAAGCTTTCCTCGGCTGAGTTGACGTAGACAAAGCTGAATAGTAGCAATGAAGAAACAGCCAACTTCAATATGTCAGACGGCCGGCTGAGCATGACAATGAGCTCTACACATAGCACAATCAATTGCTACTGCTACTTGCTTTCGGAAGTAAGCAATTTTTGGCAATATGGAGAGAAAGAGGAAGGGGCGTCAGAGGTGGAGCTGCTGAGCTTGTTACTGCTGTTCCCAATTGGGTAGTTGCAAAGTCTTTGTCAAAACACAACGTATTTCAGTGCGGTTCGTGGACATATCATAGTGATGCAGTCAACTTTCTGGTCGACAAAGAGGAGATCGATCTTGGTGACTTCTACGATAATCAAGTATGTAAGATTGTTGTGATGAAAAAGCTCGTATGATCATATTCTATCTTCAGGAGTGGCTGCTAATGGACGCACGGCTTCGCAATGGCACCACTCGATCATTGGAACGCTCCAACGAGAGCGTGTCTATGGTGTCGATGAGGTTGAATTTGAAGCGGCAGAGCTTTTACTACGTCTTTAACTTGGTCTTTCCCACGACGTTGGTGAGCGAACGGTTCCAAACCTTTTGTTTTCCATCTATCTGTTTTACAATATCTTGTTTAAGGTTTCACTGGTAGCCGTAATTGGTTTTCACGCTCCCATCAATGCAACTGGGAGGCGAGAGAGCAAATTTAGATTAGGTTTGCCTTCAATATTCGACTGATCTATGTGGATCCCCTGAAAGACATTCGATGACTCTTTTCAGGAATAATGACCCTACTGTCAATGTCTGTGATGTTGTTGATGTTGGTCGGCGAGATGAAATTCGCTATGGAAAGCGTACCGGGTCAACGAGGGTCCTTCAGCGACGTACCATTACTTGGTACTGTACTTCATCTCTTCATATATGCTACTACAAAAAATTCGAATCTGTCGAGTTTACTTCTACCACTGCCTCTTAAGTTCTTAGAATAATCATGACGCTGCCTTACAATACTAGAAAAGTTTAACTGAAGTTTTTTTTNTTTTTTTTAAGTCCGCGCACTCTTATTCCCAGAGCAGGTGAATGCCTCAGTTTCCAAGATAATAAGATTTCGTCCAAGATTGATCCTGGAATCTGAGCACTTCTTACCAATTCGAGATACCGCTCCCTTCCGCACATAACCGTCAATATTATGGTAATTTGACATTGGCAACGGCCTCTGCAAATGGGGGTTTTCGGTAAAGAAAGAGTAGACAGAACTCCCTTTCTTTTCCAATCTAACGCACACCGATGGTAACAGGGAGGATAAACAGCTGAGCAGTTGCATGCCAGGTCATTTCGGATGGCTTCCATTTGAGTTGACAGGGATCCGAGGTTATCATGATGGATCTCCCATTCGCTTTGACTCTAGGCTATCGACGGTTATGGAAGAAAATGTAGTTGAGCAATAAGAGAGAATTTTCTTTCAAGATCTGAATGGGATGCGCAACCAGATATCGTAGCTAAAACACTCGCAGCATCTTAGCAGAAGCTTGTAGATTCATGTTATAGCCCTCCATTTAAAAAACTCTTCAATTGACAAAGTGAACCCGACATAGAGTACCTTTCATTTGTCCATTGTGGGTACGGAAAGTAACTTTCATTTATCCATTATGGGCGCGGACGTTGTGTAGTGCCGTATGTGCAACCTCGTACCCGTTGTCGAATCGCGGGTCAACCAAACCTTCCATCCCTCGATGGCCGAATAATCGGATCTGTATTAGTCTTCGAGGGTCAAGCTGACCACCATTATGCACCGACTGGCCAAATCATTTTACAAGCCATATACGCATCTAAAACACGGCTATGTATGATTCTGAATGGTAGCCGAATGCGGGGCGCATTCCAAAATCAGGATTGATCAACGACCTCTCCTTGCGCTGTGGCCAATATTTCTTTCAGTTCAGCTTCGCTGGTTCCTTCTGTCAGCCAGCCTTTCCTCAAACCTCCATTTTGTTAAGAGGCCCTACCTCGACGTTCTCAGAGTATAGCAATTAGTTAGGATAGGATGATAACGACGTTGCCGTCCCTGCAAGATTGCGCGCAATCCCACTGAATTGAGCTTCCCCCAATGAGCATTTCTTTCAGGTATTTACTACATGAGCTTGATTTTCATCATAAGCATCGCCACATGTACGTCGAGCATCTTTGTCCATCTAGAGAAATATGCTCTCCGAAACCCAACATGGCAGGTTGGTTGATGTTTGTTCAGAATCACTAATGTGCAAGCTTCTGTAAAATGTCTGAAGTTATCAAAACAGAAGGTCACAGAGCTTTATCATAACAGAAGGTCACACAGCTATTTGTCATACAAGAAAGCTGTAGGATTCAGTGCCGGAAACTCTTGAGTTGTGCTGCCGGTAGAGCTATACCAGCTGCTGTTAACTACGTTATTGAGCTTCCTGATAGCCTGATATAGTTCACGATCTTCTTTCACCGACGTGCCTGATTCCTACTTCTTCGAGATGACTTTTCCATTCCAAGAGCCCTTCCATCTTCCAATGATTTTCCAGCCAGTGTGCCGTGAATTTTTTCCTCACTACCATTCCATTCGCGCGGAGGGTCATAGTATCGAGAGGAGCTTTCACTGAACTCAAACAGAAACTCACCAAATTTATTTTATTCTGCTTCCCACCCGAAGTCGAGTAATAGTCCAGAGAAGCCTAGTTGTATCATTTTTCGCAATCAAATGAGGTGTAGGCTACCAAATCGCACCCAGTGGCTGTACAACTTATTATACAGGGTGTCCCATGAATATGGTAACAAAATAATTGTCGTGCGGAAACCGCAATTCATATTGATACATGATGAAATCATGTGTAATATTTAATATGCATGGCTTGAACAAAATAAACGCACGGTCATCTGATATAACCGTCTCCTGTACTGATTATAGGTCGAAGATGCTTTAGCTACTCATCGACGGCACGCAGCGTTTTTTGAAACACTCAATCCAGGCTTTCCCCGACCATTTCTAAGAAATACGAAGGAAGGTATTTTGAAGCGCAGGTTTACCTCCCCAGCGTAAATTATACTCAACGACCCATTCGATTGCGGTCCTAGAAATCCGGAGGCTGATTAGAAGCAGGGATAAAATTGCGAACATGTCTACAGCACCATTGTTAAAATTTCCCATTCGTGAGCGAGTGCGCCTTATTTCCCAATTCTCATGCTTGGAATAACCTTCAACCCCTTTCAGAAATCATCCTCATGGAGATGTTCTAATAAATTTTTACATCTTTCTCGACCAAATTAAGCATATTGCTATGGTGATACTGGTTCCAGCCTGAATCATCGTGAAAGAAGGGAAATATTTACGAGAAATTACCTGACCCTCCCGAACAGCTTCGACACTCGTGGCGGGAAACATACGTGTACTCTGGAATCTGAACATTTCTTCCATGCTGAACACCTTTTTGTCAGGAAAAAAGCGCGTGCCGCAACATTTTTCTCTTGTTCTGCAGGTTTCGTAGCGTTATCATTGGCAAGTAATTGTGTTCGGGAAAGGAATCGTTTCTGGAACGAAACGACCGTCTTGAGGCTTGCTGTTGACCTGCCCATGTAACGCGACCCGAGAAACTGTCATGAGAGAAACGTCGAAACGACGAGAGATCCTGGAAAATGGCTCACCAGGTTCACGTGCGCGCATAGACGGTACGACTTTTGGAAGACTGCGAGGCTACATTTTTCGGAATCTGATCAATTTTGAGCACAAAATCAAAAACATGAGCCAAAGTATATCATGAACATAAGGGAAGGCGCAGATCTGGGAAGCCCACAAGGAAGGAGATTTTGGGCTTTCGTAAAGTTATTACCATGATTAAGGCGCGCGGCTTTTTATGACGCGCTAATGTCTGTGTGTTGTGTGTATGTGAATGTGCGTGTTTATGTGTATATTTATTTATTTATTTATTTATTTGCTTACACGTCCACATAGACGCGCCAGCTAAATCAGTACGCGAACTCAAGTCAATTACTGACAGTAAATAGAATAGAAAAGGGAAAAAAAGGGCTGGACCAAGGTCCCAGCATACCCAGCGTTGTGTATGCCGTGTATGTATGTGTGTACTGCGTAGGTGTTTGACCGGAGTTTGTGCAAAAATTTTTGCTAGAACCAAATTTATGGCCCATGTTACCGTTAACTTAAAGGGTTCATGGTAGAAGTACAGGTATCAGGAGGACAATATCAAAGAAATGTTGCAGGACTTGACTCCCCCTACAGGCTGATTTATATGAGAATACACCACTATCATGACACCTTAGTGCTTTCAATTCTTCACTATTAATGGTGACAATTTTTGC